AATGTTCAGAGGCATGTGAGATCAGTGTTTGGTTTTACATAACTAAGAAGGTGAAAACATCTAACTGGCAGGACTAGGGCTGAGTTCACTGCAGGCTGGACCCTATTGCACCGACTCTAGAGTATTAGGTTCTCCTGAAATGCCTGTTTTTTGCATCAGTGTTCTTATAACTGAGTCAAAGTCTTTGCTTAAGTACTATTTATTAATGTTAAATCCTTATTAATTGACTCCTGTGTGAAACTTCACTTTCCTCCAACAAACTGCAAATACTGGCTCTGGCTAAAGGTTGTTGAAGCTTTCTGCAGCTCTAACCAGAGAATTCACTATTTACAGCTTCCCAATGAGAAAGCTCACTATGAGGTAGGAGTGAGAGTATATTGTTATTTGTGTATAAAAGTAAATTCATGCACATGAAAAAAAATTTTTGCCAAGTAAAATTAAAATCGTATTGCATGGAAATTAAAATTTTCTCTTCCTCTGAATCTCAAATCCCTTCTGTCAGTGTATCCACAGAAAAGAGCATTTGTCTATTCTACAAAATACATCCACACACACATCCATACACATGTTTGCTTAGTTTTCTCTTCTACTTTTTATGACAGGCATTTTAAATTCCTAGTGAAAAAAAAAGCATTTATTGTCCTGAAGTCTGAGCTAAAATTAGAGTCCCCATTTGTGAGCCCCTATGATAATTCCATTGCAACACCCTTAACACATTTTCAAAAAGAGAGCTCAACTGACAAATAACTGATAACTAATAAATAAAACGTAGTCTATCCATAAAACAACTTGAATGCATTATTCATAATAGCCCAAAGTAGAAACAACCCCAATGTCCTTCAGTTGATGAATGGATAAACAAAATGTGGTATATCTGTACAATGGAATATTATTCAGTCATAAAAAGGAACGAAGTACTGATACATTCTACAGCATGAATGAACCTTGAAAACATTATGCTAAATGAAAGAAATCAGTCTCAAAGACCACATATTGTATGATTCCATTTGTATGAAATGTCCAGAATAGGCAAATCTATAGAGACAGAAAGTAGATTAGTGGTTGCCAGGGGAACTAGGGGAGGAAAGAATGGGGAGTTACTGCTAATGGATGGGCATGTGGGTTTTTTTGAGGGGGATGGAAATGTTGTAAAATTGGCTGAGGTGATAGCTGTGCAATTCTGCAAATATACTAGAAATCATTGGATTGTACATTTAAAATTTTTTTAATTTAAGTTTATTTATTTATTTTTGAAAGAGAGAGAGAGAGAGTGAGCAGGGGAGTGGGGAGGAGCAGAGAGAGGGAGAGTGAGAATCCCAAGCAGGCTCCCATGAACTGTGAGATCATGATCTGAGCCAAAACCAAGAGTCATAAACCACCCAGGTGCCCCTGAACTGTACATTCTAAATAGTGACTAGTATGATGTGAATTATATTTTGATAAAGCTGTTATATATAAAAGAAAGAACTCAAAATATTAGTATATAATTTGCTGTCCTATATTGCATCATTAAAGTATATGTCATTATTTCCCTTTTACCTACAACAAAACTGGACCTAAATGTGGTGTTTACTGTTTGCAAAAATTTTATGAAATATTTAAAAAATTCCCCTTGTCACTTAAATAATATTAAATTTAAAATAAAAGCTATAAAGGGACGCCTGGATGGCTCAGTTGATTAAGCATCCAACTTCGGTTCAGGTCATGATCTCACTGTTCGTCTGAGCCCCACGTTGGGCTCTGTGCTGACAGCTCAGAGCCTGGAGCCTGCTTCGGATTTTGTGTGTGTCTCTCTCTCTGCCCCTCCCTGCTCACGCTCTGTCTCTATCTCTCTCTCAAAAATAAATAAACATTTAAAAATAAAATAAAAAGCTATACATAAAATATAATAGTGGTTGATACAAAAATTGGGCCAAAGGATTTTTGAGATCTCCTTTAGGACTAATTTACAGGTAATTTTACAGGATTATAAATCAACAAAGTTAAAATTGAAATTACAATACATCCCAAATCTTTACATTCTGGGTAGAAGCCAGAATATTTAGTGCCCTGATCAAACTTTAATATTGCTCAAGAGTTAGGCGTACACTGGGAAATTGCCCCCTTGATTATTTTTTAAATTTATTTATCTCTTTTAAGAGAAAGAGAGAGAGAGAGAAGGAGAGAGGGAGTCCCAAGCAGTTCGGCACTCATAGCATGGAGCTGGACTCGGGTCTTGAACTTGAATTCACAAACCATGAGATCATGACCTGAGCCAAAATCAAGTCAGATGCTTAACCAACTGAGCCACCTAGGTTCCCCCCCCCCACTTCAATTATTTGTTACATAAAATTAAATGTCTAAGATGAGAATTATATTCATAAAACAGGAGGTGATTTCCCTCCACTTGCAGCTCTGGAGTGGTTGCTTCCTCATCCTCTTCCTGTCTTCTTTGCTAACAGTAACTAAGCAAAAGAATACAACACCATCTGCTGATGATATTTTGGGAACTTCACAGAAGCCCAAAACACTAAGCCTCATGGCTGAATCCTGCTCCTGTTCAATTTCATCCTGGGCACCAGAAACCATTCCTTGGAAGAGGATACAGAACTGAAGCCTCTGAAAGAGAAAAGGCAAAAACAAAACAAAACAAAAAGCTGTCTTCAAAGGGATTTCATTATTTAATCATTAACAATCTTTTTTTTTTTTTAATTTTATTTATTTTTGGGAGAGAGTGGGGGAGAGGCAGAGAGAGAGGGGAACAGAGGATCCTAAGCAGGCTCTGCACTGACAGCAGAGAGCCTGATGCGGGACTTGAACTTATGAATCATGAGATCATGACTTGAGCTGAAGTCCGACACTTAACTGACTGAGCCACCCAGGTGCCCCCATTAACAGTCTTTTAAACTAATCCTCCTTTTGTGCACCTGTCATCCCACCAAAGGGGTGTCTTGGTGAGAAAGCTCAGCAGCCCATACTAGCAGGAAGATGAATGAAAGGGGATGTAGGCTGGGACCCTTGTTGCCACGATCCAGTGTGTAGGGAAACGCCAAGCCTGTGGGAAGAGAGCTCCTACTGTAGTGCTTGGGTAGGACTTTAGGGTCTTCCCTGGGGCCCCTCCAAGGAGTGAGAAGAGCTGAAGGCTGGACTTCCCAGGGGAGTGAAAGGGTAGGCTGTTCAGGAAAGGAATGCACTCCAGGTGTCCAAGGTGTGAAAGTTCTATTTCTGCTTTTTTCACTGGGTTGGGGGCTTTGTTCCTCCTACCCATCTGTAGGACTTCAGGCTTCTCGATTAAGTCAAAAGCACCCCTTTTATACTGTGAACTATTCTTATTCTTTTATTAGATAGTGACCACCCCCCCCCCCATTGAAATTTACATTAGGCTGCAGGTATTCTATTAACCAACCTCCATCAGTCTCTGTTTCCTCATCTGGGAAATGGGACCCATAATACTTATAGATGGAATTGTGAGAACTTAATAATAATAAAAGCCAACACTTCCAGAGAACTTACAAGGTGCCTGACTCTGTCAAAGTGCTTTACATAATTAATTCATTTAGTCCTTACAACAGCTCTGTGACGTAGAGGCTATTGTTATCGCTATTTTTAAGACAAGGAAACTAAGCCACAGAAAGATTAAGAAATATGTCCAAGTTCACACAATTAGGAAATGGAAGAGCCAGGTTCAATATCATTAACCATCTGGCTCTACAATGTTTGTAACCATTAAGTAACACTGCCTACTAAAAGCAGATATTTAAGGCTTGGCACATTGTAGGCTCCCAGTAAATATTATCTCTCAAAATAATGAATGTCACAAGACTGAAAATAAAGAGAGCACCTCAGTCTGGGGCATCCCTCAATGTTTAACCATGCCTAAATAGTGTCTTGCATCCAATAATTACCCAAAATGTATTTGTTAAATTGAATCCATTTTGTCAGGGCAGTTATGATTTTTTGTTGTTGTTTAGTTAACTAATTTATTTTTGAGAGGGGCTGGGGAGGGGCAGAAAGAGGAGAGAGCAAGAGTGAGAGAGACAGAGAATCCCAAGCAGACTCCGCACAGGGAAGTTCTGAGTTTAAGTCCCTTCTCTGTACCAGGTGCTATGCTGAGAAAAGAGAAGATACAAAGATAATCGAGATATGAACACGTAGTGTGACGCTACTGATCCAGAAAAGCTATAAAATGCTAGACTGCATTAATAGACATAAAGTATAGGGAAGATAAAATTGACACCTCCTTGTTCTTCATCGCCCAAATCCCATCCTTCCAAATCTGTATGTTTCATAAGTCTACACACATGTATCTCCCATCTCTCTCATTCCTGCTCCAGTCCAAGCTGCCATCTTCTCTCTGACCTCTTAACTGGTCGCTAGCACTTACTTTGGTTCCTTAGCAATCTGTTTGATCCTGTCACCTCTTTGCTCTATTATTAAACCCTTCTATGACTTTTTGCTCCTAAGATAACCTTTATGGTACAGTGTAGGAAGCCCTGCACGTCTGACCTCTTCCTGCCAATTATTCTAGTCTCATCTATGCCACTCCAGACTCTAACTACACTGGCTTTCTTTCAGTCCCTTGAATGCATTATGCCCACCACCTTCCTCATGGCCTTTTGTATGTATTGTTGCAACCATTTAGAACTCATTTCTGGGCAAATGTCCACCCCTGATCCAATGAGCCACAGCCCAGGCAGCGGTACCACATGATACAATAATCATGGCCAGCAGAGTCATCTATATGACTGTATAGATGGGAGGTGCTGAAACAAGAGGAGGTGTGTCTCAGAAAGGGGAATCCATCAGATTCTGACACCAGCCTTCCCTTTAAGAATATTCAAGCAGATATATACCAACCTTCCCTTTAAGAATATTCAAGCAAAGGCAAGGTGATCGTGTTCCAAGAATATGATGGGAAGGAGTCCTTAATATGACCTGGTGACTTCTGTCGCCTCAGCCAAATCAATGAGTCCATGAATTTTTCTTCTTCTAAATAAGTCATATTTCTGTCTTTTTTGTAGCCTAATAATATCAATGATGTTTAATCAGGATGGTGGCATGGTGATCGGCAAAAAAGGAAACATTATAAGGGAATGGATGTGGCCTTCAAAGGGAAAACTTGATGATCCAGTTGAAATTTGGGTATTATTTTACAATTTTTTATTCTTATGTCTATTTCTTATGCCATACCAATAATTTACTTTGAGTTTTTAAAATATACTGTTAGGGAAAAAGAGGATTGGGAAGACTGAATTATTCAGTTTGGCTGTGTACACTAGCCAATTAATCTGATAAATCTTTATTTCAGTTTTTTACTTCACTTGGTTCTTTCTTGATGGGCTTGTCTTTGCTAAGCAGCAGTTACTTTAAACAGTACTTTTTAAAAATTATTAGAAAAGCATTTTGTTTATCATAGAAAATATTTTAGAAACAGGAAAATATATAATGTTCAGAGTAAAAGTCTCCTCCTCCTCAGTCTCACTTCGCACAATTACCTTTGTCAATAGCTTAATGTGCATTTCTGTCAGATCAAGGATCAGAAATTCAGTTAATGTAAGAGTGAGCCTACCAATGGGAACTTCAGTGAACTGGAAAGTATGTCTCCCCTAAAGGAGACAGCCTTTACTCAGGGCAGAAGACTGTTGCCACATGGGAGTGTGGGCCTCGGCCTGCTGTATTTTATGATTTTTTTTAAAGCCATGAATTCAGATTTTTTTTGATGAAATATCCTGATATTTCAGATTTGCAATTAATTCAAACTCTGACAGGACTAAACCAAATACTCGTAAGCTGCCAGGCTGTAACCTCTGTGCTAGACTTCACTGATTCACAGGTAGTTACTTTATGTGTATGTGCGTGTGATCACGGGCTATATTTTGTGTCCAGGGCCACTGCATAGGGCTGTGCAGGTGCACTGTACAGTCAGCCCCAGAGGTACCAATTATAAAGAGCTGTGCTGTCCCTGTATGGCAGCCACTAGACGTCTACCCTGTGGTTATGGAACCCTCGAACGACACTGTAGGCATAAAATACACACCAGATTTCAAAAATTTAGTACAAAAAATGAAAATATAAAATATCTTATTGATGTTTATACTATTTATATTGTTTACATTGTTGCAATGTTACTATTTGGATGTATTTAGTTATAAAATGTTATTTAAATTAATTTCACCAGATTTTACTTTTTTTTTTTATTTTAGAGAGAGAGAGAGCATGAGTGGGGGAGAGGGGCAGAGGGGGAGAGAGAATCCCAAGCAGACTCCGCGCTGTCAGCGCAGAGCCTGACATGAGGCTCAAAATCAAGAGTTGGACACTCAACCTACTGAGCCACCCAGGCACTCCCACCTGATTTTACTTTTCAATGCGTCTACTGGAAAATGTAAAATTACTTATGTGGCTCACATTTATGGCTCACATTGTATTTATACTGTACACACTATTGTGTGGAAGTTACCTCCAGGTCTCTGTTTTATACAATTTACAAAACCATCCATGGTGGCCATGTATCCTACATATACTATTTGGATTGCCATTTTTAAAGAAGTAGTGCTTAGCTCTGAAAGGTTAGGGAAGTAAAGAGTGGGTAGAGAAACTGTGCAGCAAACCTGTATGTGCAAGTTTCCTGATACTCAGGAGTCAAGAGTTTCCTCTCCTAAAAAAGTCAGTATAACTAAATGGGATAGATTTTTCAGTTCAGCTTACCTCAGCTGGCAGCCTTCAGGAAGCAAGGGAGTGTAACTCGTAACCCAACAAGTTGCAGGCTTGGAACAGTTGACTTAATTAGGATGCTTTATCTGCAGCAAGCCTTTTAAAAATATGCTCTGCAAATCTGCAGATGTTCATTTGAGCTTTAAAAGTTGTTCATCATTACTTTCCTATCCTTGTCATTTATAAAATCTCTCCAGCTTTAATAAGTTTCACAGTAATAGGAAGACTTGTAAAACTTCTAAGCACTTGACAGCCATTAATGACTTTTCTGATCATCAAGGGAGTCAGATGTTGTCAGCTATATTTTACAAGAGACACTGTCTCAAGAGCTAGAATTAGAACTCAGAAGTACCTGCAAATTGACCCAGAATTTTCTCAGTCTAAAGTGAATCTGACTTTCCTTATAAGACGTGACTACATTAATTGCTAACAGTCTCTCACCATTCCTCTTCCTTCCCTTAAGAAGCCCGAATTTGCAGCATAAAAACCTAAAAGCCACTCCTGACTTTAATGGAACCAGACTGAAACCGTGAATGTAGATCTCAAATTTCTTTCCATGTGTCATGCAAACGTCTAAGATTTCTACTTGAATTATGAGCATGAGAATTCTGTGTAGGAAATGACAGTCCTTTCTGTTGCCCCCAGGTGAACGAGTTCATTACAGTGGAGATTTCTGGGCGCTTTGCCATAACCTTGGTCTACAAATGGCATCCCCAAAGCCTAAAGCTATCTCTGGCACCTGTAAAATGCAAGTTTTTCCATCAAGGCTTACCTGAGGAGGTAGGTCCGGAGGTTTCTTTAATCATCTTCATGGCACCACCTCAGTGCAGACCAGAGGAAGAGCAATGCTGACTGATTTTAGATTCTTTCTTTCTTTTTTTAATGTTTATTTTGAGAGGGAGTGACAGCAAGTGGGGAAAGGGCAGAGAGAGAGGATCTGAAGTGGGCTCTGTGCTGACAGCAGAGAGCCTGACGCGGGGCTCGATCTCACTGAGAGATCTACACGGGGCTTGTCCTAAGTGGAAGTTGGACACACAACCAACTGAGCCATTCAGGCATCCTTGATTTTAGATTCTTGCAGTATTTCCTGGCAATTGCTACAGTAAGGATGCTGGAATCTTGGCTAATTAAAAATCCTGCCAGGGCTGTTACTGGACATTACCTGTGAAGTAACTGGAATGAAGAGAGTTTAGAAGGGGAAAGTAGACTTAGGAGAAAAATGAATACCTGGTTTCTTCTAAGGTCATGATTCCTAAGCTTCGGTGAATTAATTTTCTGTCTCCTATTTGGGTGAATTGTTTGCATTTATATAATCATGATTTCTTAAAATGGAGTGGGGTTCATACACTGTTTTTAACTAAAGCAAAACTAAATTGATTTAAAGTCACTATTTTTCAGCATAAGTAACATTCTAAAGACACTTGAAGGGGCGCCTGGGTGGCGCAGTCGGTTAAGCGTCCGACTTCAGCCAGGTCATGATCTCGCGGTCCGTGAGTTCGAGCCCCGCGTCGGGCTCTGGGCTGATGGCTCAGAGCCTGGAGCCTGTTTCCGTTTCTGTGTGTCTCTCTCTCTCTGCCCCTCCCCCGTTCATGCTCTGTCTCTCTCTGTCCCAAAAATAAATAAACGTTAAAAAAAAATTTTTTTTTAAAAGACACTTGAAGATGAGCATTGCAAAAACTATGGCTCAGAAGAATGTTTCTTAATCACTTGACACTTGCACTAACTCTCTATTGAGGAATTTTATGCTAAAACTTTTGTCAAGAGATGAGACATTAAAACGTCAGTATCTCTGGGTGCCTGGGTGGCTCAGTCGGTTGAGCATCCGGCTTCAGCTCAGGTCACGATCTCGCGGTCCGTGAGTTCGAGCCCCGCGTCAGGCTCTGGGCTGATGGCTCGGAGCCTGGAGCCTGCTTCCGATTCTGTGTCTCCCTCTCTCTCTGCCCCTCCCCCATTCATGCTCTGTCTCTCTCTGTCTCAAAAATAAATAAACATTAAAAAAAAAAACCTTTAAAAAAAAGTCAGTATCTCTAATATCGTGTAGTCAAATAATGGGCTAGCTTGACTAATTCTAATAAAACCTTTGAAGATTTTTAAATTTTGAGTGTGTTTATGGGAATGATACACATATTACAGAACATGTATGAATCTTTAATAAAAAATCTCTAGTTTTAGGGATGGGCATCAAAACTGTGTTGCTCTTGGTTATAGCATAGAAATACCATGCTTATTTCACATATGCTGAAGTTGTATAATTTTTGCCATAAATAAAGCCTTTACATGAAGCTATCTTGCCTCCTTGGTTTTTTATGACCATGTCCCCATCTGAAAAGAGCTTAATACTCTCTCTCAGCCATTCCCTGATGTCAACCCCATCTCCAAAGAAGCCATGGAGTTATTCAAGGCCTATAAAGTAAAGTGCAAACATATGAAATCTGCAACACAGGACAAAGATGTAAGTGTTAAACAGTCACTATTTTGATATTGCAGGCAAAGGTAACTTTTAGTTTTCATATTATTCTAGAGTTATTTTCCTTTTCCGACATATGCTGGATTTGTTATAAAGAGCTGAAGAGTCAAGCAATTGCACACAGATGGGCCTATTTGTATAGTTACTGGAAGGAGCATAGAATGACTTTTGTTGTTTGTTGGTGTTTAACTTTCCTTAATATCTTAGCCATTTTTAAGTGTAGAGTTCAGTAGCTTAAGTTCACAATTCACAGTGTTATACAGCCATCACCACCATTCATCCCCAGAACGTGTTCATTTTGTAAAACTGAAGTTCTGTACCTAGTGAGCAACAGCTCTGTTTACTTCCCTCTCCCAGCCTCTGACAACCCCCATTCTACTTTCTATCCCTATGAATTTGACTATTCTAGCTACCTCACATAAGTGGAATCATACAGTATTTGTCCTGTTGTAACTGGCTAATTTTACTTAGCATAATGTCCTCAAAGTCCATCCACATTGTATAAGGTGTCAGAATTTTCTTCATTTTTAAAACTGAATAATATCTCATTATACCACATTTCATTTATCTATTCATGTGTTGATGGACACTTGGATTGCTTCCCTATTTTAGCTATTGTGAATAATGCTGCTATGAACATGGGTGTATAAATATCTCTTTGAGACCCTACCTTCAGTCCTTTCGGATTTGTTTCCAGAAGTGGAATTGCTGGATCATATATGACTACATTTTTAATTTTTTGAGGAACCACCGTACTGTTTTCAATAGCAGCTGCACCATGCAACATTCCCATTTGCGGTGCACAAGGATTCCAGTTGTCTGTATTCTTAAAAATACTTGTCACAGGGCGCCTGGGTGGCGCAGTCGGTTAAGCGTCCGACTTCAGCCAGGTCACGATCTCCCGGTCCGTGAGTTCGAGCCCCGCGTCGGGCTCTGGGCTGATGGCTCAGAGCCTGGAGCCTGTTTCAGATTCTGTGTCTCCCTCTCTCTCTACCCCTCCCCCGTTCATGCTCTGTCTCTCTCTGTCCCAAAAAAATAAATAAACGTTAAAAAAAAATTAAAAAAAAAAAAACTTGTCATTTGCTGCGTTTTTGTTTTTTTTTTAATAGTAGCCATCTGGGGTGCCTGATGGCTCAGTCGGTTAAGCATCCCACTTCAGCTCAGGTCATGATCTCGTGGTCCATGAATTTGAGCCCCACATTGGGCTCTGTGGGGACAGCTAGGAGCCTGGAGCCTGCTTCAGATTCTGTGTCTTCCTCTCTCTGCCCCTCCCCCACTCACGCCTCTGTCTCTGTCTCTCTCTCTCTGTCTCTGTCTCTCTCAAAAAGTAAATAAACATTAAAAGAATTTTTTTAAATAAAAATAAAATAGTATCCATCCTATTGGGTGTGAGGTGGTGTATTTAACTTTTTAAAAATTAACTTTATTTAAGTATGATTTGTTTACAGTTTTATAAAATGCATCCACTTTTAGTGTATACTTTGATGAATTTTAACAATATTTAGTGGTCCATGAAATCCTGAATCTAGAAATCTTTGTTTCTCAAGGAGGCATTAATGGCATTTGGGGCAGGATAATTCTTAGTTGTTCAGGACCATTACAGAATACATCCCTGGCCCCCACAAACTAAATGCCTGTTGCGCCATCAGTCAAAAGGCCCATGCACACTTGTGAATGCTCCCAAGGTACTCACTTGATTTGAGAACTGTTTCATATTATAATTATTCCTGGGGGAATATTTGGGTATATGGTATGGGGAGATCAATCATCAGATTATTGTGAACCAACACTTAAGGGGCAGGTAGAAAGGTAGGAGGAGAACCATGTTACTGTGGTGGACATGGTAAGATCCATGTCCTTTCCCCTCCCTCTTGTATGACAGATTCTGTACTGCTGGGTTTGGAAAACTAAAAACTGTATTTCCAGACTCTCTTGCAGGTGGATTTCTAGATGCATACTAAGCCCTATTAATTAGACGTATTCATATGGGATTTGGAAGATGGAAATAAGGAGAAACAATTTTCTTGCTTTTGCAAACAAGATCATGGAGAAGTTGGGTTTTCTCACAGCAGCACTGTATTATCTAGTCACTAGCATCATAGATAATGAGACACAATTGTGGCAGCTTCCTGGTTTTAACCTCACAGCTTTAGTAGACTGTTCCAGAGCCCCACAGCTCCAGTGGCACTTCCCTGACCACACCTGCCTGATAACAGGTGGAGGCAGCACCTCACCTGGTCAGTCAGTTGGCATTCTGAGAACAGCTGGAGACTGCCATTTCCCCTCTTTTGGTGATTTTATAATCAGATACTTACAAAAGGGCTAGAGAGTTTTCTGTTTCCTACAATTGATAATAACATACAAAACAAAGTGAATTTCAAAATGAGGGAGGGGTTATAGAATGAGCCTTTTGAGAGAAGCCAAACAAATGAGAAATAAAAAGCATCCATTGCGTTTGTCTTAGGAGGATCAACAGTGACTTCAGCAAGAATGATTTCAGGGTACAGATGGAAGTGAGAACCTTTTTATAGTGAGCTGAAGAACAGATACCTGAAAATGTAGAAACTTTTATGGTATTACTGGCATTTTCTCGTGCTTTGGATTTGTATAGTATGAGAAAGGAGGAGTGGGTGCCCCAAACCTATGTTTTAGGTCCTTGCTCTCAAGCTTTCCTAGACCAGTTAATTTCTTAAGTGTCAAACCACTTAACTGCTCACTCTGCACTGGGGCAGCTTTCTGCCATCCCAGATGATAGTCACAATAGTCCAGATTCTTCTTCTTCCTCATTGTGGCAAACTTAGCAGCATCCTTGTGGTTTGGTTTTGGGGTGTTCTGGATGGGAACAATCTGACAAGCTTGCATTGAGGTGACGTGATCTCTTGTATGTGGAGCCCAAGTCTAATTTCCCCTATTTGTTCTGCTAGATCCTTTTGGAGTGTCTCCCTCTCCCCATAATTCCCATGCCTCCACTACTCGATGCCATGTAAGAAGGCCCTTGCTGGTTTCTGTCTCAGATGGAGAAATGCAAATCCACACCCTCTGGTCCAGGCCTCTAAAGCTTCTCTAGCCTAGAGTTGGATGATCTTCAGCTCTTAAGTTTCCAAGAGAACTTGGTACTATTAAACTGGTGATCATTTATTAGTTACTATAAAATAATATTTAGAAATGATGCTGTTTATAATATTTATAAATTGATTGAAGCATGCTTACCATCATCATTTTCCAATATAAAAAAATTCATGGTCTTTGGTTTCTAGGGGAAGTAGTATCACAAAATCCCTTTGATATTCATAGAATATTGTTAAGTGTGTGGGGGGGAGGGAATTAAATGATGAAATAGTATGATCAAAAGTGGAACCAGACAACACAAAGAAAAATATACTCTTTTTTTAAAAAGAAAAATATATTCTTATTATGTATTTTATTTATGTATTTTTAATTCTTTTAATGTTTATTTATTTTTGAGACAGAGACAGAGTGTGAACAGGGGAGGCAGAGAGAGAGGGAGACACAGAATCTGAAACAGGCTCCAGGCTCTGAGCTGTCAGCACGGTGCCTGATGTGGGGCTCAAACCCATGAACCACAAGACCATGACCTGAGCCGAAATCTGACGCCCAACCGACTGAGCCACCCAGGCGCCCCTCTTATTATGTATTTTAAAAGACTAGAAGGATGTATGCCTAATTTGGGGGGGTTGAGTACATTACTTTTGAAATAAGAAAAAAATATTTTTGAAATGTGTGAAGTTCCCACAAAGATGAAACATTATGAGTAATATTACCAAGGAAAATCAATCGGAAAAAAATTGTTATTGCAGTTCTGAAGGTTTGACACCATAATTTATATTCATTTCTTTCATGAAACCTACACTTTCCAAAGACTTAGAACGAGGACACCTTCTTCTCAAGGCATGGAACAGCTTCTTGTGTTACTTTCTTAATAGAGAACTGATATATTTATCTCTCGCATTCACAAATAGCACAAAATAATCAACAGAGTCCCTTTTTGTAACTTCTCTAAATAACTCCTACAATCAGCAATTTTCCCAGATATCCCCTCCCTCCAAAATAAATGTTCAAGGTCGTGCAAGCAAGAATAATGAATCATCTTTTCAACTGTGACAACTTAGTCCTTTTTCAAATCTTCCTGAAAGATGAGTTCTTTTGTTTTTTAGATGTTTCATATGCTCTTTGAATAGTATTTCCAGAGAAGAATGTTAAGGTATGACCTTTCAAAGATTTATTTTTGTTGTTTAATTTCTTCCCAATAATTTGAGTTTTCACATGAGTGGTTGATGAGCTAACTCTAGCATACCAAAACACCAACAATTTTTAACAAGTGTACTGTTGAGTTTCCTACTTTTGAAGCTGTACACATAATTCATAGACAGATGTGTGACACTTTTGGGAATTATTTGTCTCCATCAAACATTTCTTGCAACCTGCTTTCTTTGTGGCCTGACGTGAAAGGCAAGCTGCTTTCAACTTCTTTACCCTTCACAGGTTCCTCACTCTGCCCAGTATGTTTGCAAATTAAACTAATCTTGAAGATTAAAAAAAAAAATGAATTGGGAAAATGTATTTAAGATAGAATGAATGATATGAATCCAACTCAACTGAAAAATCCCAGTAAAAAATGAAATAGAGGGGTGCCTGGGTGGCTCAGTCAGTTAAGCACCTGACTTGATTTCTGCTCAGGTCATGATCTCACAGGTGGTGAGTTCGAACTCTGCACAGAGCCCATTTGGGATTCATTCTCTCTCTCTCTCTCTCTCTCTCTCTCTCTCTCTCTCTCTCTCTCTCCCTCTACCTCTTTTACTCATGCATGTGCATAAGCACATGCACATGTGCTCTCTCTCTCTCAAATATAAATAAATAGGGGCACCTGGGTGGCTCAATTGGTTTAGCGTCTGACTTCGGCTCAGGTCATGATCTCACATGAGATCAAGCCCCACATCCAGCTCTGTGCTGACAGCCTGAGCCTG